AGGGCGGGGCCCGGCCGGGCGCTGGTGCGCGGCGGCCTTGAGAGCGCTGCGGCAGCGCTGGCGGCCTCGGCCCGCGCCAGGAGTTGGTTTTGCTCTCGGCGTTCGTTTCACTGCAGCCATGACTTTATTCCAGCAAGAATTGGTTTTACTCGTTTGCACCAATTTAATATAATCCACATTTTTTTCAACAAACATGTAATAAATACCCTCATTTAATATTACCCCTTTGAGGTCTGAAGCCTGTTCTTTCAGTCCTGTAGTAACTCAGACTTGACTGTGCCAGGATGCAGGGTTTCCCCCCTTCCACTAAGGGAAAGGCGCCTGGAGTAAGTGGGGCCTGGAAGCTGATGGGCATGAGGTGGCCTTGAAATTATACCTAGTAGTAATGGTTGAGTCCAGGTCAAAACTGAAGGAGTTTTAGATGCTTTTAAGTAAATGTACACACCCCTTGCCTACTGATCTCCAGCGCCTAAATTACACTGTGAACATTTGGAATGGGTGCTCTCTCTCCGTGGTTGCTGTGGTTTTCCTTGTGACAGTCCACATGGAAAAAGCAGACAGGAAGAGAACGTGGGGAGCATCCATATAGTGGAGGGGCCTGTGGTGCTTGCGAGTCTGCTTCCTCACCTGGCCGTGCGCCTGCGGCTCCTCCTCGTTGGGCCCCTCCCCTTAGCTGTCGGGGGCTCCGTGCAGAGGGCTGGCCGTCTTGCCTGTAGTCTGACCAGTCTCGTCTTGGGCACCACTCTCTCATCTACTTCAAGGAGAGAATAGAGGTTTTCCACAAGGGTTTTCGCAGAAGTTTTAATATCTAAGCAGATGTGTACATGTCTGGAGATAGAGATAAACAGCTGTAGAGAGCGGAAGACGAAAGTGCCAGGTGAAAGGAAAATGCTGTTTTGTCACTGAGGACTGAGAAGTGGGTGTAAGCAGACACATTCCTACAATAAGGATGCTCACTCTGAACACGCGTTCTCCTAATTATTTTAAAGTTGAAAGGCGTAGTGACTGCATCATAAGAGGTTACGCGTCTAGAGAAAAAAGATGCACTGGTTGGCTTGTTCTTTTATGCGTTTCATTAGGAGCCATAGTTTAGCCTTTCTTGGTTTCTTGAAGCATTTCCTAATTTTAGGTTCATCACTGCTCTCTGACCTTTTTAGCAGGAGTTTAGATTAAAAAACAAGAGGATTTAGGTCTGAAAATGACAATACATGTATTCCCTAGAATCATGGAGCTTGGGAAATACCAAATGCATGGGAAAGTTTATCAGTATAAAATCTTGAGTCAAGGAGGATTATAAAATCTGGGGGTCCCCGACTACCTTGGGTAAGGAAGGGAAGGGAAAGGGCAAGCAGTTGGTCTGCTGCTTTTACTGTTTTCTTCCTCAGTGTACTTTTACTACCATGATTGGGATTTGGGGGTGAAGTGGTGGGAAGTGAGGGAAGACATGGTACCAGGCAAGTACTTGGGCTTCCAAGTCGTAATGGCCTAGGGTCATGTACTCCTTTTTTGTTAGCTGTGTGATCTCGAGGAAGTTAATTAACCTCTCTGAGCCTCAGTGTCTGCATTTGTAAAATGGCCTTCATAGGCTTATTGGGATGATTATATGAGAAAATAAAGAAAGATTTTAAATACCCATAAGTGCAGACACCATTGTTGTTTCCTTCTGCTTTTTCACGTATTCATCAAAGATTCTGATTCATTGGGCACAGAAGAACTTTTAGGGTGCACCGTATAGGGTTCTAATGGTCCTCAGACCACACCTTGAGAAATGCTGTTTTTAAAGGATGAGTAGATGTTTGGGCATCAAGGGGGCGGGCAGGGCTGTCACATGCACACACAACTCCAGGGGGTACCCCAACATCATGGTACATGTCCATGGAGCACCCAGAGTTGGGGTGCGTGACCTGCAAGGCCACAGGGGGCTCTGGGGGGGATGCAGAGAGTGGTGTGTGTGTATGTGTGTGTGTGTATGTGTGATATGCAGGGTGTGCTTGTGACACGGAAGGTCTTTCCCTCTGGGGAGCCTGCAGGGTGGGAGATAAGGAGCAGGGTGGAGGTCCTTGCATGCCATGCCAAGAAGCTGTTAATAACAAAAATCCAGCCGAGTACGTTTAAAGGTGTGATTGGCTTTGATGAACGATTCATGAACCGGGCAGCATCCCATCTAGCGAGTAGAGGGGAGCTCCAGGGGGCTATAGCAAGGGAAAAAAAATTTTTTTTATTGATGTCATAATAGTTTATAACATTGTGAGATTCCAGTTGTACAACCCCCATCCCCCTAGTAACCACCAAACTGTTCTCTCTGTCTGTGTGTTAGTTTATCTTCCACATATGAGTGAAATCATGCGGTGTTTGTCTTTCTATGTCTGGCTTATTTTGCTTAATATAATACCCTCCAGGTCCATTCATGTTGTTGTGAATGGGACAATTTTATCTTTTTTTATGGCTGAATAGCATTCCATTGTATAGATATACCACATCTTCTTTATCCAGTCATCAGTCAAGGGACACGTGGGTTGCTTCCACATCTTGGCTATAGTGAATAATGCTGCAGTGAACATAGGGGTGCATAAGCCTCTTTGGATTGTTGATTTCAGGTTCTTTGGATAAATATCCAGTAGTGGGATAGCTGGATCCTAATGTATTTCTATTTTTAACTTTTTGAGGACTCTCCATACTGTTTTCTTTTTTTTTTTTTTGTGAGGAAGATCAGCCCTGTGCTAACATCTGCCAATCCTCCTCTTTTTTTTCTCTTTTTTTTTTGCTGTTTGCTGAGGACCCTGGGCTAACATCCGTGCCCATCTTCCTCCACTTTATATGGGACGCCGCCACAGCATGGCTTGCCAAGCGGTGCGTCGGTGCGCACCCGGGATCCAAACCGGCAAACCCCGGGCCACCGCAGTGGAGCACGCGCACTTAACCGCTTGCGCCACTGGCCTGCCCCCCGCCCCCCAATACTGTTTTCCATAGAGGCTGCACCAGTTTGCATTCCCACCAGCAGTGTATGAGGGTTCGAACGGGAAAGATTTTTAAAGGCAGGACGAGGAACTCATAAATGGAAAAAGGTTTACTTCAGGTTGTCATCTATCTCCCTTTGGAGACAAAACAGTCTAATTAGGTGGGTTACCTCATCTCCCTTTGAGGAATGGAGAGGGCCCATGTGACAGATCACCTCCTTGGTGCTGACCAGAAAATGCTGGTGACTGGTTAAGATGACGTTTCTGGGGGGGTTGAAGCTGCAGTTAGGTTAGGTGTTAAGCCCCAGTTTGGTGATGTGGGCCTAGCAAGAGGGACTCCATTTTGGGCCTGTGATTTTCTTTTTAACACAACTTAGGCTTTAGCCAGGAGGCAGTGAGGAGCCACAGAAGGGTGTAAGCAAAGATGTGATTAGGCCATGCTGATGGTCACGTGGGTGTGAGCCGAGAGTGAGACTGCAGGCAGTACCTTCCTCAGCAGGGGAGAGCAGGATGAGGCAGGAGCAGGGTATGCTGAGGAGGGCCAGATTCCAGAGATGTGCAGGAGGCGGCTTAGGAGGACTGGGATTGGCTGCTTGCTGAGGAAGAGGGCGCAGGAGCTGGTGATGACCTGGAGGGTCCAGTTAGGTGATGCTGGTGTGATTCTCTGCAAGGGCGAGTCTGGAGGAGCGGTCTCCATGGAGAGGGAAAGCTGCGGTTGGGTAAGTGACAGCCAGGTCCCAGGCCCCTGGAACTCAGGGGAGAGGCCTGGGAAGGAGGTCAAGATTTAGAGTCTGAAGCCTTGGCGTGCAGGCCAGCACCGAGGCCGTGGGAGCGGGAAGAGGAGGGTGACGGTGAGATGTCAGTCCCCAAGAGGCTGGAACGGGTGGAGCACGTGGAGAGACGAGAGGCCACCGAGACAGAGGAGGTGGAGCGGAGCAGACCAGGTAGGAGGGGACGCGGGAGCAGCGTGGAGGGGCCTGTCACCTGCTTCCTGTAAAGAGAGAACGGTCACTCGGGACTGAAGAAGGGCCCCTGGGGTCTCCCGGGCAGGAGTCAGTGGTGGCGCCGGCTAGAGTGGTGTTGGCGCCGTGGGAGGGCAGAAGCCGGCTGGCCGTGAGTCTCGGGAAGAATGGGGGCGGGAAAGCGGGGACTGAGGCTCTCGTGAGGCGGGCGTGAGAAGGGCAGAGCGTCGGGCAGCCGGGGCGGCGAACGGGGGCGAGGGCGGGCCCTCTCGCGCCGCCCTCTCTCGGGCGGGCGGGGCAGGCGGG